CATTGATCCCCTCCTCTCTAGGAATCAAGTCCGATGTGAGGAAGGGCCATTACAAAGGTTACAGAGCGGAAGTTCTGTTAGGAATCAGCAAGAAAATCCACCAGGTTCTGTGTTGTGGGGAGCCGGATCTCCCCAACAGGCGTTACTAAAAGCGGCAGAGCTGACCACACCCACTAGCCACAACCCTGGTTTTCTCTGCCTACTTTAATAATCCTGGGGAGGGCGGGGTCTTTGGTTTTACTGGGTACCACAGGGTGTACAGTTGGAGGGAAAGAAATTAATGGAGGCTCAAAGGACCTTGTGGAGATTGAGGGCAACTGTAGAAAAGGGGTGTGGGATGCTGTCTTCCCTGAGGTCTTCCTGGCAGGGGACAGTGCCTCTCTGGGCAGAGAGAACTGGAGAGAGCAGACCTGGCCAAGCAGCTGCGTTGGATGCTTGTGTTCCTGAGAGCCAAGCGAATGCCACAGTAGTTAAGCCCGAGTGCTTTTCTGAGCTTTTCTTTAAGCAGACTGACTTCTGGGTTGAGAGGGTTCCACTGCAGTCTCCACGTGGTAGCATGGTGGAGAGGAATGTTAGACTCTAAGCTAGCTATCCTGTCAGAGAAACGTCCAGAGGGAAAACCATGGAAGTCACTCATTGCCCCTCGGGAAACCAATACTTGGCCACCGCAGACAAGGGGGGGGTGTCAACCGGCAGAGGCCAGACACTCCATCAGGGCTATCTGACCTTTCCTGCCTCTTCCTTTGCATGAGCTAAGACTCCCCCCCCACCCCCCAGCCAGTCTTTTCTGCTTGCCTGCTTTGTATGTCTAGCTGACAAGATTCTTTCTGGCTCAAGTCAATCCTTGGCTGAGCAGGGAAGATGAAATGAGATTTAAATTGAGTTTGAGAATAAAGCATCAAAGGACGGAGGTTTAACAACACAGAGAGATCCAAAAGTAATGCAATCTGCCCAAAATGTCATTAAGGGACAGAAAAGGGAAACTCGCCGAGCATGGCTGGAGGGAGAGATTAGGGTGAGCGCTTCATTATCATGCCCCCGTGGAGTCGAGCTGCCTCAACACACTGGTTCCACAAATAAACAGAATATGAAGTACAGCGGGGTGGGGCTGACTTGGAGAGGGAGCTTGGGGAGGTGGGTGTGTTCACCCCAGTGGGCTGTGGTGGGGGAGGAATTCCCAGAGGAGGTACACTGAACCCCAGCACTGAAAAATGAGGTGACAGGAGGTAAGGGGACAGTATTGTCAGGTGGAGGTGACAGCGTGGGACATGAAGTGGAAGGTTGGTTAGAGATGCAGACTTGGAAGCCCAGGGCTGGGACGGTTCCAGGGAGTCACTGCAAACTCACTGTGAAGACCAGGCTGGCATCAAACTCACAGAAAGTCACCTGCTTCTGCCTCCTGAGGGCTGGAATTACAGGCGTGAGGCACTCTGACTAACATTCTTTTTATTTGTCTTAAATAAAACTTTATTGTAATGTACTTGCAAATTAAAAAAAACATCATGTAGAGAGATTAGTCAGACCCAAAGTCTACAAATCTCCATGAACATTTGACAGTTGGCGAGGCCATTCTGAAGCTGTGGAGCTTTACAATGGATTTTACACACACACACACACACACACACACACACACACATTCAAGGTTTCTCTGTGTAGTCCTGGCTGTCCTGAAACTAAAGCCTAGATCAGGCTGGCTTCAAACTCAGAGATCTGCCTGCCTCTGCCTCCCAAGTACTGGGATTAAAGGCACATGCCACCATCTCCTGGCCTATTAATTATATTTTAACGAACTTATCCACCACAGAAAACCCTGATAACTACATGACAAAATTAAAATATGAAAAACAATAAGCTCTATATCATTTTTCATCAAACATGCCCACAATACACACAAACATACCCATACAGACATATATACACACACACACACACATACATTTGCACACATACACGTACTCACACATGCAAATGTACGTGTAAGTACAGTATAATATATATAGGAAAAAGATCAGGAAACAGCACACATTAAGTGCTGAGGAGAGACAGGATTCAGGTTAAAGGCTCATGAGTGGAGCAGGGCCCTTGGGTACCAGATGCTGTGGATTCTGACCTCCAGGCTCCTCAGCCATGCACCTGCCCCCTGCTTCTCACAAAGGCCGCTTCCTCCAGGATCTGGAATCCTGGATCACTGTTCTTCCCAGCAACCCTCACCCTACCTCTATTGCTGGACTCTTCCCTTGATGGGAAGCTAACAATTGCCCTCTCTCCTGAAAGCATCTCAGTACCCCTCCCCTTCTTGCACTCTTCTCAGCCTAATACCCTTCCAATCCTTCCCTGGGCCTCACCACAAGCGTCTCCTAGGGATGTGTGTGTGAACTGAAATATCTTCCCTTTATCTTGCCTGGTCTGCACCCCATGGGGCAACCCGAAGGCTACTATTTATTCTTTCACACATTAATTTAAGATGCTTTAATTGCTGCTATGATATGTTTTATGTAATATAATTAATGTTTTAATTCTGTTGAACTGGCTTCCCCCAGGCAGTTTTGCAAAGGGCCCAATTTTGGAATCAAGCAAATAAGGAATAAGTAAAAGCTGAAGTTATCTAGCAAAGCTCCTCCCACCCCACCCCCACTCCCACCCCCACCCCTGCTTCCAGGAATGAACACTAGACTTGTTGTCCAAAGGGGATTTAAAAAAAGGGAAAGACAGCTTCATTTTGTCTTCATCTTGGATGTCTTTGGGTGGCTTTAATGGAGACTCCTGGGTCCTAACTTAAGTGTTGCTGGCCTTTTTGTCTGTGACTGGCATCCTTTCTACATGGGAGGCCACTGTAGCTTGAGGTCAGTATGGAGACCACCAGGGTTGTATCTGTCTGGCCATCTTCTTTGTGACAGGAGTTGTTCTTGGGGTGAGGATTGACAACCTATTCGCATACTCACTGTAAGCCTCTGAGTTAGGACAGTGGCAGAGGTGACAGGACGGGGTGGGGGGGACCTCCGGAGCGAGAAGCAGACAGTATAGTGGAACTGAGCCCCCAGGCATGCTCCTCAGTCAATCATCTGGCCCTGTGGACAGAAAGGCAACTTCTTCTGAGACTCTTAAATCGTGAATGATGATCAATGAAGCTATTACCGTGTCTCTGTAGCAAAGGCGTTGTGGTGGTTTGACTGAGAATGGAATCCATAGCGCCTATGTTAGAATGTTTGTTCCCAATTAGCGGAACTGTTTTGGAAGATTAGGAGGTGTGGCTTTCTTGGAGGAGGTGTGGCCTTCTTGGAGGAGGTGTGGCCTTGTTGGAGGAGGCGTGTCACTAGGAGTGGGCTTTTAGGTTTCAAAGGGCCACGCCAGGCCCAGTCTCCCTCCACCCCTTCCTGCAGCTGGTAGCTCAGGATGTAAAGCTCTCAGCTACTGTTCCAATGCCATGCCTGTCTGCTTCCTACCATGATGATCATGGACTAACCCTCTGAAACTGTAAGCGGGCCCCCAATTAAATGCTTTCTTTGTAAGAGTTACGTTGGTCATGGTGTCTTCCTAGCAACTGAACAGCCTGTAAGCTGGGCCCCAAGCCTGGGGCTAATGTAGCATGCCTTCCTTCCCCCTTCCTCTTTCTTTGCAGCCTGGTCTCTCAGCATGGCTTGGATGTTCAGTTTGGAGGATCAGCATCCCAAGCACCATCTAGTCCAAGTTCCTGGGAGCAGACTGAGATGGGGATTGCCACTCAAGTGAACTCAGTGCATCAGACACAGAGCTTGGACCAGACCCCAAGCCTTCTAGCTGCAGAGCAGATGTGAACCCTGGTTCAAAAATGATGGTGGTTGTGTGTGTGTGTGTGTGTGTGTGTTATAGGGTTAAAGACAGTGCTCATGAAGTCTAACAACCTAAGTTTGATACAGGCTCCCACATGGTGGAGGGAGGCAACTAACTCCCCTAAGATGTTCTCTGACCCCCATATACTCCAAGAGGGGAGGAGGGATGAGGAGGAGGAAGAGAGGAGGAGAAGGAAGAGAGGAGGAGGGGGAGAGGGAGAGGAGGAGGAAGGTGAAGAGGGAGAGGGGAAGGAAGAAGAGGAAAAGAGAAGAAGGAAGGGGGAAGGGGAGAAGAAGGAAGAGAGAAGGAGAAGGAAGTGGGGAGGAGAAGGAAGAGGAGGAGGAGGAGGAGGAGGAGGAGGAGGAGGAGGAGGAGGAGGAGAAGGAGGAGAAGAAGAAATATGAATGATGAGTAGTGGGTGGTACTGGGGGAGACGACACCCAGGGTAAAGTGCCTGACATACAAGTATGAAGGCTAGAGTTCAGATCCTCGTCCCCCCCCCCCCGCAAAGTTAATGGAGGACTAGGGAGTGTCTCTAGTCTTCTAACATTTCTCAAGGGGCCTTTGATCTTACAAAAGGCTGGTCCATACGGTAAATGCCTGTCTCCAGACTCTGGATGGAGCTGGGATGGAAAGGTCGGTGGAGACACATGAGTGGCACGCACGGATGACAGGATGGGATGCTGTCCCCTACGTGTGGGAATTTCCTTCTCAAGAAAGAGAAACTGAGTAGGGAACTCATTTCCTTGAATCGCCTCCTTGGCCCTTCAACTGTGGTCTTTCCCGTTTTCTGAATTTGCGGTGATGTTGGGGACTTCCTTAGACCTCTCTGGAGATGCTTTCGGTTCTGCAGAGATTCCTGGGTGGGTATTGGGGGATGGGTAACCAGAATGTCCCTGTGACACTCCTCAATCCCTACAGTAACCCTTCCCTCTGCTCCCTTGCAATCAGGAGAGTCCTTAACCCTGCTATAGGTGGCTTTTGAGGTCCTGCGGGGAAGGAGGGGGGAGTAGAAAAAGGGCTCCTCTTGGGACCACGTCTCTTCCCGCCACCATGGTGCCCATCCCTTAAACTCTTAGGGGCAATCAGACTCCAGGGAAGGTCCTGGGGAAATCCCTGCTCAGTGACTAGCCAAAGGCCCACCGAGATTGGTGCCCGAAGATCCCGCCCCCTTCCTGGGCGGGACTCTTAGCAGGGACTTCGGAGTGACTTGTGGCCTCGCAGGGAGCCCTGTGATCTGGCTGCTCTGATCTCTCCCTGCAATGGTGCCTTTGCTTCGGCTATGCGCGCTCTGGGGCTGCTTGTTGACAGCGGTGAGTGGCTTCTGTTCTAACCTCCGAGGAGGTTAGGGCTTTGAGAGTGAGAAATGGAACGAGGAGATAAGGCTTCGGGGATGAGATCTTCCTAGTTGATTTGGGAAAGGCGGGAAGCGGTGAATAAGATGGGCACGATCGCTCGATCGCTCGGGTCTTGACTTAAAACAAATGAAGTGGGCTACCCCTCTTTCCTCCCAGAAGGTTGAGGTTCTGTTCCACGTAGTCCACAGAGGGAGCTTAGGGAGAGCATTTTTACACAGCGGTGCCCGGACAGCTTTATCTGATCCAAGCCTTGGCTCAGGAGCTGGCTACAGAAACTGGAAAGGGTTAGCAGACAGGAAAGCCTGGCTAGGGGAAGGGGCGGGTCTGGCCTGTTTCCTGTCACTTTCCCATTGTCAACAGATGTCTGCCACCTGTGGTTATCTTCTCCTTGCCAGTTGGGCCACTTTCTCCTAGGGAATCTTGGGGGAACAAAGCCCCAGGTACTTTTTTGGTAAGAGGTAATTTACTAACCACCAAACCCGTATTGTAGCCAAGCCGATCTAGAGAAGTCTCCAAGTTTGTGCCTCTGTCTCTTGAACTTAAAGATGGTGCAGGAGGCACCTGGAGGATGAGGAGGAAGGGTGGGGGGAGGAAGAGATGGAGGAATAGCTTTGGAACCCAAGAAAGCATAAAGAAACCTGACTAGGTTTCTCCAGGCACCAGAAGGGCTCAGACCAACCAAGCACATCTCGGGGATTTTCAGAAGCCAGCCCTTGATTCACTTTTGGTTTAAATGTATTTCTGCAGTTCCTCATTCTGGAGTCTGGGAATCCCCTGACTACCTGGGTTTCATCCCCTCTCCTCTGGCGAGGCTCCCCTTGCTTTCAAGCACGGTAGATTCTTTTTGGTTGGAGACAGGGACTTAGGTATTTCAGGGGCTTTGACTTGTCTGTGCAGGAAGGTGTCATGTTTCAGGACTGGCTTTCTGCAGCTGCCCTAAGCACATACCTGTCAATCAGCCAAAGTCACCTATCCCAGGTTGGCCTCAAACTCATGATCTAGTTGAGAATGACTTTTAATTTTTTTCTTTTTTCTTATTTTTGTTCATGCATGGTTTGTATGTATGCGTACATCTGTGTGGGAACACACGTGTGCTTGCATGTGGTGGCCTGAAGTTCATATCGTGAGTCATTCTTGGACACTCTCCCGCCTTACTCATCAAGACAGGGGTCTCAGTCAAACCCAGAGCTCCCCATAGGGCAAGTCTCACTGGTCAGCTTGCTCGGGGTTCCCCTGCTTCTGCCTTCTGAAGCCGGAGTTACAGGGAGACCACTACAAAGACCTGGTATTTGCACGTGTTTCTGGAGACCTGAATTCTGGCCCACACATTTATACAGCAAATACCTTAAGAGCTCAGCCATCTCTCCTGTCCTTGAATCTCTGATCCTCCTGCCTCCACCTCCCTAGTGTTGGAACTACAGGCATGCACCGCCATGTCCAGTTTTATGTGGCGCTTAGAATAGGCTTCGTGCACCCTAGGCCGTCACTGTACTAGCTGAGCTACATCCCCGGCCAGAGTGTAGATTCTGACATGTGGCCTGCCAAAGACCACTGTCACAGGGATTTCAGTCACAAGAGAGGAGCAGGAGTGAGAGAGTTTACTAGTTTTCATTTTTACCCTAAGCTAGTGGTTCCTTTCACTAAGACCATCAGAAAACACAGATATTTACCTTACGATTCAGAACAGTAACAACATTACAATTATGAAGTAGCAAAAAAAAAAATTTTATGGTTGGGGGTCACCACCACATGAGGAACTGTAACTGACCACAGCATTAGGATGGTTGAGAACCACTGCTCTAAGCAACCACCTGTATTTAGGGAGACAGGACGCAGGAAGAGGGTAGAGTGCACGAGAAGTGGATGAGGACCTTTGGGAGGGATGGAGGAAGAAACAGAGGCATGATGAAGGCTAGTCTGGAATACCTGAGAGCAAAGTCTGCCCTCGTAAGCCCCAATCTGGGCTTCAGGGAGGGTCTGGGCCCTGACAGAAATAACAGGTGCTCTTTCCTGAGGCCTTCCTGAGCATGGGGCTGTGAGCGAGACTGCCTATGGCCTTCATTTGATTTCTCTCAACATCTCTGTTACATAGATGACCAAAATGAGGCTCAGAAAGGGGAGGAGTTTTACCCCAAAGTCTCTCAACATGGATATGAATCTATGTCTGCCTGACTTCTGAGCCTGCCGCTTACATGGCAAGGAGTCACCAAACTGTGACCCTGAGCCTTTTTGTGGAGGAAGGACCAGTGCTTTGGGGGATGGAGACTGGGGCTGACGAGCCATCAGAGGGAAGGTGTCTTTTTCAGAGATGCTATCCAGGACGTCCACTGTTCTAGAAGGAGGGTGGGAGTGCTGCCTGGGGATGATGCCCTGTTGGGGGCAGGTGCTTTCAGGTACATTTCATTAAGTGATTTGCTCAGATACCCAGGTTGAGTAAGAGCTCTCAAAATTTCCTGGATTCTGGACAGTCAGACTGTTGTCAGGGTATAGGACACTAGGGCAGACACCTATCATCTATGTGTGCTGATGAAAGCTACCATTTCCTGAGGACTACCCTGCCTAAGCAGACTGCCAGGCCACACACCTGTGTTCTCTCACAATCTCCTAGTCCCGCCTCCCGGGACAGGTGTTATAATCCCATTTTAAAGGTGAGAACACAGGGCTAGCGAGATGGCTTAGTGGGTAAGAGCGCACGCTGGCTGCCAAGTTCAGTTCTTAGTAGCCACATTGGGCAGGTACATAGATACAGCAAGAATGAGAAAAACAAATCTTTTTTTTTTTTTTTCAAGACAGGGTTTCTCTGTATAGCCCTGGCTGTCCTGGAACTCACTCTGTAGACCAGGCTAGCCTCGAACTCAGAAATCCACCTGTCTCTGCCTCCCAAGTGCTATGATTAAATGTGTGCGCCACCACTGCCCGGCTGAGAAAAACAAATCTTTAATGACGAGGACACACAGCCTAAGAGAAGCAAAATAATTACTATGGGATGTGGAGTGATTTGTCTGTTCTCAAACGAGGGCTCCACACAACCCCTTACCATGGCTGTTTCTAAAACACAACCTGGCTTTAAGGAGCACACTTACAAGCCGGAGGGACAGTTCTGCAGTTAAGAGCGTGTGCCGCCCTTGCAGAGAACTGGAGTCAGATTCAACATCCACACTCGGCTGCTCACAGCCACCAGCAACTCTAGCTCCAAGGGAGATCTGATTCCCTGTCCTGAGGGTACTGCACTCACACGTGCACATATTCATATATAAAATATATAAAATATATAAAAATAAAATCTTGTGTCTAGAGAGATGGTCAGAACATTTGTTGCTCTGGGAGAGGACCCAGGTTCAGTTTCCCAGCACCCACATGTGGCTTACAACCATCCTTGACACCAGTTCCAAGGAATCTAGTGCCTTCTTCTGATCTTCAAGGGCACCAGGCACGCATGTAGTGCATATTTAGACTGCAGGCAAAACACCTGTACACATAAAATAAATAAATCTAATTTTTTTTGAAAGTCTTGAAAAACAGAAAAAAAAAAACAAAAAACAAAAAAACCCAAAAAACCAAAAATCCCTCACCTCAAACCTCACGGATAGGGTTTTGGCTGACGCACCCGCTGTACAGGCCTGAGGGCCTGGGTTCATCCCGGAATCCATGTAAGGCAGTGTGTGGTGGCAGAAGTCCGACATCCTAACGTTCTTACTGTGAGGCAGGAGGTGAAACAGGAGAATCTCCGAAGTTTTCAGGCCAGCTAGCTGGGCATATGCAAGCAAGAACAACAAAAAGACCATGCATGTTTTAAGCAAGATGGGAGGCAATACTGACACCAGTGTTATCCACTGACCTCCGCACACTTCAGTTACAGTAAGTGCATGCTCAAGTCACAGACAGGGCAATGGGCACTGTGTGTGCACACACACCAAAATGGTTCTTAAAAAAAAGCTTTCACACTTTAAAAAATTTGGTTTCCATTATACTTATAAATTATATATTATTTGTGTACATGTACGCATGTGTGCTTGAGTACCACAGCATGTGTGAAGGTCAGAAGAAAACTATGGAAACCAGATTTCCCTATTATGTGGTTCTTAGGGACTGAGCTCATCAGGCTTGGCAGTAAGAGCCTTTACCAGCTGAGGCATCTCTCTCTCCTCTCTCTCTCTCTCTCTCTCTCTCTCTCTCTCTCTCTCTCTCTCGTTTGTATTTTTCTTTTTTAAAAATATTTTTTCAAGTTTTTTTTTTTAAGATCTACTTATTCATTTTATGTGAGTTCACTGTCACTGTCTTCAGACACCAGAAGAGGGCATCAAATTCCATTACAGATGGCTGTGAGCCACCATGTAGTTGCTGGGAATTGAACTCAGGACCTCCGGAAGAGCAGTTAGTGCTCTTAACCACTGAGCCATCTCTCCAGCCCCCCAGGTATCATGCTTTAGGAGTTACCTACATTGTCTTAGGGGAGAAGCAGCAGAGAACTGAGCAGCAGGCAGGCTTATATAGGGTTTCCTGGGGAGGGACTTCTCCAGGGTGGAGATTTCCAGGGTGGGAATAAGTGAGATTTTATGCTCAGGGATTGGTGGGTTTTCACACTTTTTTTTTTTCCAAATTAGGAATTGGGTTCAGACATTTCCCCCTACAGATTTCATTATTCTTTCAAAAATATTATTTTGTTTTTATTTCATGTGAATTGGTGTTTTGCATGTTTGTCTGTATGAGGGTGTTAGATCCCCTGGATCTCGAGTTATAGACAGTCGTGACCTGCCATGTGAATGCTGGGAATTGAACTTGGGTCCTCTGAAAGAGTAACCAGTGCTCTTAACCATTGAGCCATCTCTCCGGCTCCTACTAATTCTTTTCTTATTCATTTAAACATACATCTATCTATCTATCTATCTGTCTGTCTGTCTGTCTGTCTGTCTATCTATGTGTATGTGTATATACATACATACATGCACGTGGGCGTGCGCGCGCGCGCGCGCGCGCGCGCACACGCACACACACACACACACACACACACACACACACACACACACAGGTTAGATGCTAACTTTTGTGAGTTGGTTCTCTCCTTCCGTTATGTAGGTCGATTGAACTCTGGTTATCAGGCTTGGCAGCAAGAGCCTTGACTGACTGAGCCATCTTGCTCCTTAGTTTTTCAAGTCTCTGGAGCTAGGTCATAGATCATGACTTTTTTTCTTTTTTCTTTCTTTCTTTTTTTTTAGACAGGGTTTCTCTGTGTAGCTTTGGCTGTCCTGGAACTCACTCTGTAGACCAGGCTGGATTCACAGAAATCCACCTGCCTCTGCCCCCAGAGTGCTGGGATTAGAGGCTTGTGCCACCACGCTTGGCTAGTTGATACCTTTGAAAGACTTACTAATCCCTTCCCCCAGCTTAAAAGTAAAATCAAGAGCAGACAGAGTGAAGGACCTCAGCAAGTAAAGCTGATCAGGGCTTAACAACCCTGTTATGAATCTCTGGAGTGTATTTTTAGGGTTTCTTTTAATTTATAGGAAGTGATACTGGCTGGTCTCTTGAGGCAACAGTAGAAGATTTACAGTTAAAAGAAGTCTGTTTAAATTAGCAAGAAGCAGCTCATAGCATGGGTGGTACCCGGATGTTGCAGAAACAAATGTTGAGAATGACCCGTTGAATGCATTGAATCCCATCCCTGTGGGACCCTGCTCAGCGTTGCCCTCTGTAGAGTAATTCTTATCCTTCTGGTGGTAGGGAGCTGGGGACAAGCAACTGGGAGGACTGAGGCCAGCTTGAGCCAGCAGCCTCAGGACTCTGGAGGAAGAACTGGAGTTCTCCCTTCCTGCTGGGTCTTTGGGAGCACTGAAGAGTCGTGTGCATCTGTTCGGATTAGAGGGTTCTGAGTTCTTGCTTTGTGAGATGGCAGAAAGACTCGATTTGACAGCAGAGTGAAAAAACCAAATAGACCTCATACCGTGGAGGCTCTCTTCTCCGCTTTGGATTTCCACATCGGCTACAGCCTGTGTCTTGGCTAACTTTCAACATGCCTGTCAGAGGTCCCTTCCATCTGCCCACTTCTGCTTTTAGGTCCATCTAGGACAGTGTCTTACATGCAGTGACTTACAGTACCTTCACAATGGCCAGTGCTGTGATTTGTGCCAGCCAGGTGAGATGCCAGCCCTCCTGCCTTCTACTGAGACCCTTTCCCTCTTGCTTTGCTGGTGGATGCAGGACCCATGTATGGACTGTAAACTCAAGTCCAAAATGACCCATTTCCCCCCTCTTCCTTGATGCCAGAATGCCCCAAGCTGTCCCTTCCCTTCCATCTTTACTCATGTAGGGTCTGATATGTCCATCCCTAAGCTACAACCACCTGCTCCCGCTACACTCCACCGCCCTCCAGCCCTGGCTCACTGGGTTGAAACACAGTCTGAGTCACAGGATTGGCCCAACCTGCCTCATGTCCTCCTGTTTTTCAGGAAAGAGACTGACAAGCCACTGCACAGCTCTTGAGAAGACACAATGCCAACCATGTGACTCAGGGGAATTCTTAGCCCACTGGAACAGTGAGATCCGCTGTCACCAGCATAGACACTGTGAACTCAGTGCGTGGGGCTGCCTGGGAAGGGGTACTTGAGAACCAGGTTGATATTCTTAACACTGAAGTCCCTCTGATGTTAGTGGCCAGGGTCTGTCCTGATGAGCTGGATTTTGGGTTGAAGGAGTTAGTGGATATCTGTATTAGGAAGAGTAAGAAAACCAGCGAACGATGCGAGGAGTGAGGTCCTTGCTGTGGCCCGGTGGGTTTTCCCATTCTTCCTTCTCATCTCCGCTCAGATCAAGGGCTTCAGGTTAAGAAGGAGGGTACGGCAGAATCAGACACTGTCTGTACCTGTAAAGAAGGTCACCACTGCATCAGCAAGGACTGTGAAACATGTGCTCAGCACACGCCCTGTGGCCCTGGCTTTGGAGTTGTGGAGATGGGTAAGCAGCCTGCCTGGGGAAACGGCTCTGTGGGTGAGAGAGAAGAGCTGGGGTGAGCAGTGGGCCTTTGGCTTTCAGAAGTTGAAGGCAGAGAAATTCCCACCTGGGCTGGCATCTTCCCTCCAGTTAACAGGACACGGGCTCTGGTGGATTCTGACCTTGTCTCTGGGCAGCTTCCTGCTCGGTTGTGGCCTTGAGGGGCTGCACTGCGCTGGGGCAAGGAGCTGAGGGCAGGTGCTTTTTCCTGCCCTTCTGTCTACTGGCTCCTTCTGGGAGTCAGACATTGTGGTCCCAACTGTTTGCTGATGCATCTTCCCACATCCTCCCAGCCACTGAGACTACTGATACCGTCTGTCGTCCCTGTCCAGCCGGCTTCTTCTCCAATGTGTCATCACTTTCCGAAAAGTGTCATCCTTGGACAAGGTATAAGGGTCACCTCTCCCTAACCGATAGTAGGGTGGGTCCTGTCTCAGTCTCTTTAGCCACCTGCTGTTCAATCCCTGATACCCCCCACCCCATGGCCTCACCCACTCGTGAATGTGATCTTGTGGCTGGCCTAAGGGACACTTTGTGCAGTTTTTCTAACCTGCTTTTGCTTAGTTAATAGAGCCTGTTGCTTTCCATAGCTTCTTGAAGTCTCTTCTTAAGGCATCATGATACCCCTTCCTCCTCTTTTCAGTTCACTTTCTTGGTGTGTGTGTGTGTGTGCATGTGTGTGTATATGTGTGTGCACATGTTCATGTGTGTGCACGCATGCCTGTATGTACATGTATGTGTGCATGCACGTGTGTGTATGTGCATGTTCATGTGTGCATGTATGCATGCGTGTGTGTATGTGTGTGTACATGTTCATGTGTGTGCATGCATGTGTGTGTGCATGTGTGTGCACACATGCATGTGTCAGCTATCAACTTGGTGTGTGTGTGCATGCATGTGTGTATGTGTGTACACATGTTCATGTGTGCGTGCATGCATGTGTGTGTATGTGTGTGCACATGTTCATGTGTGTGTGTGCATGTATGCGTCAGCTATCCACTTCATGTGGCACTCCTCAGGCACTGGGATTACAACCACTTGCTATCAAGCCTGGAATTTTTTTTTTTTTTTTTTTTGTGGGTTCTAGGGCTTGAACTCGGGCCCTCAGGTTCATGGTATTTTCCTGAGTAAGTTATTGCTGTCCTCAGGCCTTCTGGACTCTTGAGTTTGTCAGGCTTTGGGTTCTCTGACACTTTTCCCACCTCTCCTTGGCTGTCTTATCTAGATCTAAGGCTCCATCTCCCCCGGATCTGTTGTTTGGGCCCCAGATGGTCAGGTCCCACTGTTGAATGTAACTGATCACCAGCACCTCAAACTCTGTACATCCAGAATAGGCCCCTAGCTAAGTCCTGAGCCCCAAGTGACAGACAGGTTCTGGCTCCAGGCAGTCACACAGTGAGCTGCCCACCCTTGCCTTCACCTCCGCGTCAGTCAGGGCTGTATCAGTCAGGCCTGTGCCGTCTGGTATGAATGTCTTGGGAATCCACCTCTTTACCCTCTAGCGTGGTCACATGAGTCTGTGCCTCCTCACTGTGGTGTGGTGCTGGCTCCTCACAGGCCCCTTCCTTTGGTGTTTCCCTTGGCTGCTTGGCACCGTGTTGTGAGCTTCCGTAGCCCCTTTTGGATCACGACGCCTCATGATTTAAAGCACGCCATGACTCTCTGCTGCCTTTGGGAGGAAGCCCAGACTCCCTGGGCTGCGCCTTCCAGTTACATTTCCTATCTCTTCCCCCACACCTTGCACCCTGCACTCACACCTCTGGGCACACTACTTACTCTTTTGCTTCAGAGTCTCCTGTTTGGGAAAACATGTAAACACATTCCCCATTCCTTTTTTTACGGTTCACATTTAATTTTTTTTTTTTTTTAATGGGCAACCTTGTCTCCTCAGGCTGTTTTCTCACTACTCCTTCAGAGAGAGAGAGAGACAGAGAGAGAGAGGGAGAGAAAGAGAGAGAGAGAGAGAGAGAGAGAGAGAGAGAGAGAGAGACAGAGAGACAGAGAGACAGAGACAGAGAAAGAGGGGAGAGGGAAAGACAGAGGGAGAGACAGGGGGACAGAAAGACAGAGGGACAGAGAGACTGCTAATAAACACATTGACACACACACCGTTAAACACGCAAAACACGCACACACACACGCACACGCACATGCACGCACTGGTCTCTCCTGTGGTTGGAATAGTTTAGTGCCTGCTTTCGGCTTGCACTTACAGTCCTCACTGGTGGGTTTAGCTAACCATAGAGGTTCCTGGCCTGCAGTCAGATCTGCAGCCACCGCACTGCCCCACTTAGCTCGTGCATGCTGCTGTTTCAACTTTTATACCCTTTGGGGGGGCTTCTGATCTTCTTTGGGGACCCCCAAATCTGCCTCAGTACTGTGAGACCCTTGGTTTCTTATCAGGAATTGGGATGCCCTTACTCTTCGGAGGCTCCAGCGGATTTGTAAAGCTGCTGAGGGCCTTTGTCTCTCACACAAGGCTAGAGCATGTGCTTTCTCTGAAGCTTCTCTTCCACCACATCCGGGTCTTCCTTTGCCACATCCCTCTCTGTCCACTCCTCCCAGGATCACCATCCACACCTCACATCTCCACTCCTGTCCTGCCTCTGGCTGCCTGCTCTGCTGTAACATCTCCAGAAGCTGCCTGGGAGCAGCAGATCCTGTCCCCAGTTAGGTCATCTGGCTAAGGTCACTCTCTAGCTGCCTGTAGCTGCCCTGCCCGGAGCTGCCCACCACCATACTTGTCACCATGTGACTTCCCTCTTGTCACACTGTGCTTCCATGGCTGTGTCCAACTTTCCCCACCCTTCAATGCTTTCTGATCTCCCGTTCATGGAGAAGTCTTCCCAGAAGACCCCGAAACCAGAGCTTCTTAATGGGGACCAAATTTGCTCTCTTTGGGGCATTGGCCACATCTGGTCATCTCTCAGAGCCTGGACTTGGTGAGGGAGCTGTTGCTGGCATTTAGTTACTGGTGACAAAGATGCTGTTAGATATTCCATGAAACGTAGGACATTTCCCAGCACAAAATGCCTGCAATTGCCACGGTTGAGAAGCCCCACCTTAGTCCAAACTTGTCCCCTCCACTTCCTGCCTTCCTACCATCCGCATTCCTGGGTATCGTCATTTGAATATGGCTGTAACCTTTCCTTTCTGTGGGTTTTTGTCCTTCCCTTCCTTTAATTCTCTCTCGCTTTCTCACCCTCTCCCTTCTCCCCTCCCTTCTCTGCATGTGTGTGTGCATGCACATACATGTGTACACATGTGTCTTTGTGCAGCTGTAAGGATAAGAACCTGGTGGTCCTACAGGAAGGAACACGTGAGAATGACATCGTCTGTGGTGAGTCCAGGGGAGAATGGGCCTTGCCAAGCATTTGGGAAGCAGGAAACTGAGGAGAGACTGAGGCACACAGGAACACTGACTGGGGTAGGGGTGAGAGCAAGAGGCAGTTTGGGGTATAGTACCTTAGTTCCTGTCTCGGGAGCTGGATGGGTCACATCCCTTGTCTGAACCTCAGTCTCTTCAACTGTGAAATAGGTTGACAACAGTTCCTTCCAACCTTACTTGGGTAATGTACGTGCTTGGCACAGAATTTTGCAGATTGGAAACTGTTGCCCCTTGCTTGATGTTCAGGTACACTGTGACAGTGTCGCCTGGTAACCTCAGTTTGGATGCTAGGATATGAAGCTTGACCAATCCCCCCCACCCCCATGGATCACAAACTCAGATAACAACAGAGACCAGCCTGTCACTGAATGAGTGAAGACAGAGATGGGAGAGAGCTAGGTCTGGTGAGTGGGCCTGTGAGCACAGCTACTTAGAAAGCTAGGCAAGAGCTTTGTAAGTTCAAGGCTAGCCTAGGCAGCTTAGGAAGACACTGTTTCAGCATAGAAAGAGGGCTGCTGAGATGGGTCATTGAGTTAAGCTCTTGCCTGATGGCTCGGCTTCCGTGCCCAGCGTCCATGTAAAGGTGGGAGGAGCGAACCAGCTCCTCAAAGTTGTCCTCTGACCGCTGCATGTTCAGCACAGCACATGTGTGTGCGCACACATCACATGCACACATCATGTACATGCATACACACAATAATAGTAAATACAAGTTTAAATACATTTCTAGGGCTGGAGAGGTGGCACTTGCTGCTCTTACAGAGGACCTGGGTTCAGTTCCCAGCACCCACATCAGGCAGTGTACAACTGTTCATGACTCCAGCTCCTGGAGATCTGATGTCGTTGCTGGCTCTAGGCACACACATGGTGCACATACATACCAGTAGGCACTTTCAGATATACATATGTACAAATAGTTACAAATTAAAAACGTATCAAAAAAAGTAACAAGAGAGCTAGGGCTGAGGCTCAGTGGTGGAGCAGTTGTCTAGCATGTGTAAGGTCTTAGGCTAGACCCCTATATTTGTCTAGCATGTGCAAGGTCCTGGGTTAGACCTCTACACTTGTCCAACATTTGTGAGGTCCTGGGTTGGACCCTCATACTTGTCCAGCGTGTGTGGTTCTGGGCTAGACCCCCGCATTTGTCCAGCATGTGTGAGGTCCTGGGTTAGACCCCTAGTGCTGCAAAGTAAAAGAAAATAAAAGTGCAGTCTCTTTGCTTTTTCTCGAGGTTGCTTTTTTTTTTTTCTTGGAAAGGCGTGACTAGGATGGAGCGTGAAGAGCACTTGAGTTCATGTGTGATATTTAAGAAAACGTCGTGAAGGGACAGTAAGCAAAAGAAAACATTTTGAGATGACGCTAGAAAAACAAAAACATAAAAAAACAAAACAAAACAAAAACCCAAAACAAAAAAAAAAAAAAACAGAGATGCACAACATGGCAAATTTTTAAAATAAGAACTGACTTTTCCAGACACACGGCCCTGCCGACTTTCTTTATCCTAATCTTGGCCCTGGTTCCAATGCAAGTTTATTTAAAAGCCAGGAAGCCACCTATGGGCCTGTTTGTTTCACTGGTGTCTGCCTCCTGGCCTATGAACTCGGTGTGGTGGTACAGGCATGAGAACCCCAAGTTCAAGACCAGCCTGAACCACTTAGAGAGACTCTGTGTCAAAGAGTCTCTACCTTTATGACTGAGGGTGTGTGTGTCTGTGTGTGTAACTGCACCCAGGGGAGGAGGTTGCACCTCTTGCCTCTGAGACCACCTGCTCTTTGGTCCTCTCATTTGTCACTTAGAATAGCAGTGTAGACATAAGAGACACTTTCTTTGTCTCCTCCACACTTCCATAGCAGATGTAACAGTTCGGCAGTAGCGCTGCGCACACACAGTGTAGGGAAGGGTGAAGCAGGCAGGCGGGCTGTTCCTTCACTCCACAGCTGACGAGCACACCAGATGGGAAGCTGGCTCCCAGGGGGGCTTATCATCCCAACTGCAATCTCCCAGGGCTGGAGAGACAGCTTGAAGGGTGGGAGTATTTACTGTGTAAGCATGAGCCAGGCGTGGCCATGCCACATGTGACTGGGACCTTAAGACTATGTGTGCAGGGAGTGGCACTAGAAGGAGAATTGTAGTTTGTTACCTCACAGACTAGCTCCCGGCTCGGTGAGAGACTGTCTCAGCAAAAGGTGTCATATGATGGAGCAGGACACACGCATCCTTCTCTGGCCTCTGCATGTGTGCACAGGTGCACACACCTGAACATACACCAGGCCCACAGACACCGTACTCCCACACACAAAGATGGAATCTCTCAATTTATAAACATTGACAAATACCATAAAGCATCTTAAAAGTTCCCCTAGTGGCCACATTACCCACAATGCTACTGCTTTAAAGCTCTGATAACAGAAGGCCTGAATTCTGTGAGGATACAACTGCTTTGGGCAAGGAGTGGGAGCACCCAGCAGTGGGAAGACCCACCAGTGGGAGCCCCTGCCAGTGGGAGCACCCCCCCAGTGGGAGCACCCCCCCCCAGTGGGAGCACCTACCAGTGAGGTCCATTCAAGTCTGTCTCTCCAGGTTTCCAGTTCCGGATGCGAGCCCTGCTGGTCATTCCCGTTGTGCTGGTCGTCCTCACCACCATTTTAGTGGTGTTTCTCTATATCAGTGAGTGCTGAGGAGGGAAAAGGGAGGGAGGATTCAGCCCTGCAGAACCAGCCACTGATTGATCCTGACTTGACCTCCCAATGCCCCACCCCTTCTTCCTCTTCTTCTTCTCACTAGAAAAGGTGGTCAAGAAACCAAAGGATAATAAGGTAAGCCACCCCCGAGGGAGAGAAGCTGGGAAGGGTGACTGGTGGGCAGGTAGGGAGGCTCATGGCGTACGGAAACAGACTGCTACTCAGTGAGCAGAGAGCCTGTGTTGGATCCCTGAGTATGGATCCAAAATCCACGAAAGGGGCCTGTCACGCCAGAGCTGGCAGGAGAAGTGAACACACAGATCTCCGGATCTGTGCTAGCCAACCATGGGGTACTCCAGGTTCCAAGAGAAACCCTGACTTGAAAAATAAGGGTTGAAAGTGCAAGAAGACACAGGATGTTGACCTCTGACCTCTAATAGTGTGTACATGGGTGTGTGGACCCTCTACCCCATGCACATATGCTCAATACCACACTACACACATACACACACAAATGCACACGCATACACACACACACACATGCACACGCGCGCACACGCACACGCACAAACAGGTTCAGAGGCTGTCCCTGGAACATGTAGGGTGACAGAGGACTACTCGAACTCGCCTACCCAATCACTTCCCCTTAGGGTGGAGCTGGGCACCACTGGCAGAGTAACCCTGGCTGTGCTTTCCTCCAGCATTGAATGCGGGCGGGGGTGGGGGGGAGTCCCACCTTCAGGGGCCAGTAGGTGGAACCAAAGGAGCAGCTTCTCCTTCTGCTGGTGGGCAGTGGCTCTGGAAACTTCCTGCCAAATTTTATCTGTCCAGCAGGGGGCAGGAGGCATCCAAGAAATCAGCTTTGGTACCCCCCCCATCCTCCCACCCCAGTGGAAGGGATTCGGAGGAGGGATTCAACTCCTCAGAGGTGGGATGGCTCTGTGGCTAGAGGTGACCTTGGATCTCATACCTTGGCCCCCCAGGCCTTACCCCCTGAGGCTCGACGGCAAGATCCTGTGGAGATAGAAGATTATCCCGGTCACAACACTGCTGCTCCAGTGCAGGAGACGCTGCATGGGTGTCAGCCTGTTGCACAGGAGGATGGTAAAGAGAGTCGCATCTCTGTGCAGGAGCGGCAGGTGACAGGCAGCATAGCCTTGAGGCCCCTGGTCTGAGTCCTGGAACTGCTTTGGAGACAACAGGTCAACGACAGGTCGGGAGCAGGGGCCTGGCTCTGCCAACTGTGTATATTTGAAGCCAAGACAGACCTCAGTGCAGCTAACTCTCATGTCTACTCCCCTGTCATCACTCGACTTACTTTTTTAAGACAGAGGAAAAGCTTGGGCGTCAGGGGTCCGCAGTACTATCTACAGAGTGCAGCAATGCAGGACCCAGAGATGTCTTGCTGGGACTTTTGCTGTCGTCATGGACACAGGAGTCCATGGCTTGTAGCTTGTGCTGCCAGAAAGCACCTGATTGCCACCAGCAGGGGACTGGCTAAATAAATCTGTAATTATTTATACAACGGGGGTCTCAGAAATACTAGCAGGTGGGGCAGAAAACAGGTGGAATGATGGGTAGAGAAAAGGCTTTTAAAAACACATTCCAAAGCAGGTAAGATGGCTTTGTGGGTAAAGGAGCTTGCCGCCCAAACCTGATTACCTGATTTTGATCTCTGGGACTACCGGTAAAAGGAGACAACCAAATCTAGAAGGTTGTGATGCATACATTTGACCTCCATGTGTGCTTGGTGACATATGTACCCAGGTGTGTACATGTGGGCATGTGTGTGCACATATCCCAAGATGGATGTGGTGGTGTATTGTAGAATCCCGACCTGGGGGTTCTACCGAGGTGTTAACATTTAGTTCCTGAATAAAAGACACACTCAACCTTTATATTTACAATAAACCTTAAACAGCACGAGAGCTGGGCAGCTGCCTACCCTCCATGCTCCCCTCCATGCTCCCCTCCATGCTCCCCTCCATGCTCCCCTCCATGCTCTCCTCCATCCTCCCCTCCATCTTCCCCTCCATCCTCCCCTCCATGCTCCCCTCCATCCTCCCCTCCATGCTCCCCTCCATCCTCCCCTCCATGCTCCCCTCCATCCTCCCCTCCAT